GACCCTGCTGTGAGCAGGGATCTGGACTGAAGGCCTCCTTTGAGGTTCCTTCCAACCTGAATGACTCTGTGATCCCAAGGAAGTGAATCCTCTGTTCCAGAGCCCCCGGGCTCTCAAAAGTTTCCCCTAAGAACACCTGGTGAAGCCAGATGACTAACACCAACTCTTCTTCTTACTGACAGTGTGAGAGCTTACAAGTCTCCTACGGCACACTTCCCACACCAAACAGGGATGAACTGAAAATTAATTGTAACCGGACAGAAATATTCACTCTAGAAATGTTAACTCTAGAAATCTGTCAAACATCAGATGAAATACTAGCAGTCTGGTAACACACAGATGACTTTACTACTAGAAAATTATTACAGGATCAATTTTGATACCAAATGATATTTAGAAGTCTGTATTTCTTTCCTTAAATAAAATACTATGAATCATTTTGGAATGAGTTACCACACACATTCAAATGTCATTCCTGCAAATTAATGGCCATGATTAAACTGATGTGACTCTGTTGACTTCAAAATCTCATTTCAGTAGAGCTTATATCAGCTAAGATTTGTCCTAGGATTCCAAATTATGCTCAATAAATTAAGGGGCATATACCAACCCACATATTTATCACCCACTGAAAAATTCAAAGAACAGACTGTTATACATCTTTACTTGCATTAAATAGCAGATGAAAATCCAAGCAAGATAGCTTAGCATTCAGTAGCTATCGCAGCTACTTAGCCTTTGCACATCATAAAATAAACACCTTAATATAAACTACAGCAACTTCTCTCTGTCTTACACATATATGCCGAACACTTTTTTGGATTTTCTCCCTGAAAAATTGTAGAATCCTTTTCTTCCCATGCAACTTTTTTTAATGGCAAAACTAATTTCCAGATTTGTCATTGAGGTTAGGCAACATCCTACAACTCTCTCCTGTTGACGTTCTCTAATATGAGCACTTTTCCTACTCATCTGCTTGGCTGTGATCCACAAGATCCTGGGATCTCTGGGAGAGATCTGAGTTTCTAGAAGCTCCTGTTCAGCCATGGAACAACAGAAGGGAAGGTCTTCTTAAAGCTCACTAGCTACTGGAGCAAGTTTGTGACAAATTCCAGCATTTGTCCTATGTATTGGCTAAGGAACTTCTATTTCATAACTGTGATCCACCAGAAATATTTGTTAGTGCTCAGTCAGGTTTCTGAAAAGAAACGGAGAATGAGATTGGGCAAATTCGTATTTATTAACTAAGGAAATCGTGAAGAAGATGCGCTTATGTACATGCAGATTATGCTAGTGAGTCCATTAACACATACACCTCAACACTGCATATAAGTAGATATAATCAAAACTAAGAGACATGTCGATCAGAGGAAAACAAGCTGAATATAAAAGACACCACTTGCCTCTTGCTAGTTATGGATCACGTCTCTGGGAATCCAGTATTATATATGTCCAGAATAAACACATCCAACTAGGACAAAATGCTTTGTGCATACTACTGCACAAAACGAAAACAGAATTAGCTGGGTCTCATAAGCAGCAATTCCACAGAATTTGTAGCAGTCACCTACTTTTTGATGAAGTTGGTAAGTAAGGATCTTAAAAACTACTAATCTTCAATGGCAGACTCAAATGGAGCATTAAAACTTAATGCAAATGTCAACTTTGGCCTAAGTAGCAATGTGAGGCTAAAGAGGTAACACACCTACAACGAGTTCCTACAGGATGTGGAGCAATTTGGTTCCAATCCATTGAAGTACTCGCATTCATGCTTAACTTGAAATACATGGGCAGATCCCCTGAAGATGATGGAACTACTTATATGCCTAATATTAAATACGCCCTTAAGTGCTTTACTGGGTTAGGGCCAGAAAGCTCAGTACCTTACAGGAATGAGTTCAGAGTAGAATACACAGCAGTAGCATAGCAGGGAATTCAGGACCGCAAATACCTCGGGCTAAGTCCCTCTTGCAGTGTACTATTGAGAAGCACAGTGCAAATATAAGCAGCTGTGCAAGTGCAGACAGGTAAGAGGATGTCTTGCCTAAAGGTAATCAGAATAATTACAGAAATCTGAAGAATGACAAGATCAGAAGGAAAACAAACTGCCACTACTCCCTAACATATACTCTAACTATAAATTGTATTCCCACAGCAAAAAAAATTGTGTTTTCAATTCCTACATAAACTGACAGTCCATGTCTGTGATCATGATCAGTGTCCCTCACATCATGCCTGAGCTCCAGAATTCAAGTGTACCAAGCAAAGAAGACTAAGACCCACAGCACTCTACAACACATGGCATCTGCAATGCAAAAGTCAGGCTGACATTCAGCATGGTCCACCCGCCACAAACACCGTACAGGTCTTGTACTCCAGGCAATCATAATGCTGCAACACACTCATTTGCTCAGGACCAACACTGTCTTTAAAAGACTGGACTTTAAAGCACATGTTAAGTGCTGTCACCGCCTTTCCTACACGTTGTACTACAACGTACTCATGACGACTCTGTGCTACGCCGCGCTCCTTTCTGGCCAGAGCCACTGCTAGCTATTGCACACACTTCTCCTACAAGCTGTGCACTGATGGACGCGCTCTGCACCATCTTCCTGCCAGTTCTGAAGCCCGCGCGCTTCTGAGTCCAAGAAGAGCGTGTTCCATGTTTGCAGAGACTCCCATGATTTGGTGAGAGACAGTAGAAGGATCTGGGCTAAAACAACCCAGAAGCAGCAGCATATGGGCCTGTCATCTCCAAACTTACTCTGCAATAGCCTAGCCTAACCTTCTGTAGCATAAAAAAACATATTAAAGCTGAACTACATGCATTTATTTCTATGTTTATACACCACAAGCACATATAATTAGCTTAAAAAGGGAGCATAATTAGCTATGTAATGTTACAGGTCACATTACTACGCAACACCCAGATGTCCTGCTATCTCACAAAATATTAAAATACCACTTTCCTGTCAGTGGTAAACTGTATTTACTGTTGTGCCAAAATATCACGATTAATAACATCACCATAGTTAGGGACATGATGTTAAGTAAACAATCTTTTTAATAATTTTTAAAGTTGGGATTCTTCCGCATTGCAGCCAAATATAATCTACGTTTCCAGGAGGGACGAGCCTTTTGGGACATGAAAGTAACCCTGGCATCACAGGAGTCTGATCTGAATCAGATCAATCCTTAAACAAGCGGATCATTGATTTTTCATATTCAGGCACTGGGAGGCAATGGGCATGGGGGACTGAGAGGAACACCAGTGAGACAGAAATACCCGCCGCACCTTACATGCATTATCTTACTCTACGAAATCCATGAGACTCTTCTGGAATTTCTTGTGTGAGGCTTTGGAAAGTGTTTATAACGGATCTGCCGCCCGGGGAGGTTTCTTCTTTTTTGCTTTGCAGGCTCAGAAAGCACCTCACGAAGAAACCCCATGAGTAATAAGGAACAAGGAATACAAATTAAAAATCCAACTAGCAAACAGGTATTTTGGAATGAGGATGACACGCCAAATTAATTCAGGAAGTTTATCTTGTGAGAGCACAGAAATCATGCAGTGAGCTATAAAATGACATTGGAAATCAAAGGATTGGCTCCAGCTCTGTTGCGAGAGTTTCACTATTTACTTCAACACCATTGTTTCACCCACTTGTGGGGTTCTCATTCATAACTACATCCTCGAACACTGACAACAGTCTTGCAACTCTGTAGGGAGATAAGCAGACTGAATCACACGTGCCCTGCAGTAGTTTGTATTTGGAAGAATCTCGGCACTGCGCTGTGCTATGGGCTAGATTTGAGAAGCCAAGGAGCGACAGTAAATCCAATGCACTTCTTTCAAGGAGTTTCCAACACACTCCCACCGTAACACAGCAAGGATGCAGGGGTTGAGCTGCAAAGTCCCTGGATGGTGGGGGAGCTGCAAAAGGCCAGGGCTTGCTTTATGATGGCTTGCTTGATCCCCTGCGGTTGTCCCTGATACTTTTCAGTCTTGTTCCTTTTGCCACAGCCCTGAAAAGACTTCTGAGTGTGACTTAAAAGCAAGGATGGGCCTTGCAAAATCTGCTTCTTCTACTGAATTACATTTTTAGCTTCCTGAATTTCATTTTTAGTTCATTTCTTTACCAGCTACCGAGGCCACAGCAAAGCCGCTAGCCTAGCCCACCCTGCCCTCCATGTGCACAGCTCACCCTCAAAAGGAGGAAGGAGTGAAGAGAGAGTGTTAGAGAAGTAGGTGACGAGGGGATCTCCATGAGATACTACCGCCTGTGAAAATATAACCACTGCAACAACAAAGACATATCACCTATTGCTGTCTGCTGCGCATAGGGGTTTAGGGGGGGGTGCCTGTGAGCCCTCTCAAGCAAGGCCAATCCTGGGAGGTTTGGGAAACACCTACCGCCGAACAAGCAACCATAAATAAGTAGTGAGCAATGTGGATAACAATGCACACGCAGGCAGCCCAGTGCACAGGAGTCAATTTGATGGGCTTTTTTTCATTTCTGATGTAGCTGCAATGACATGAGATGTGAATGCGCAGAATAAGGTAGGAGATGCTTTATCTGGGCTGTACAGAAAATACAATGAAGTATGACTAATCCTTGACAGAAAAGGGCGCATTGAGTGAGGAGCCTGAGACTCAGGCCTGACCCAGGATGCCCTCAGGTGTCCCCTCAGATATGTCTTTCCCAAGATGGGGGAAGGAGGCTCCAGGATCTGGCAAGGGATCAGCTTTTTAGAAACAGAAGGTGCTGGAGAAATCATTAGGGCTGATGGACAGACAGGGCTGATGGGCAAAGCCTGGCACAGCTTTGAAGTTCCCTGCGAACTTCATGTGCCTTCAGGTCAGGGACAGCCCATGAGTCATGCACAGCAACACCAGCGCGGGCACGCCCAATGAGACCTGCACACCACCCCCAGCCACAACAACAGCGACAAGAACGGCGTGCAGGAGGAAAGCTTAGCAAAACGATGCCCAGACTTACAGAGCTCTCCCCGTTCCTGACGAAGTGCGTGGCCCCACAGGCTTCCTTCTTCACCTCCTCCATCCCAAAGATGCAGACGGCGGTGGCGTTCCAGGCCTTGGCGCCGTGGCTCTGGTGGAAAACACCCACCCACCAGCCCTGCTCACCCTGGCGGACAAGGCTGGAGGAAACGATGAGGCTCCTGCACCCGCAGTCCAAATACACGTGCCCTTGCAAAGTAAGGCCACCCTGTGAGGGGGACTGCTGGCGCAGGACTGCCATGCTCGGTGGCTCCGTGTAGTTTTTCCACCTGGCCTTCAACCTGTAGTTTTTTTTCTCCACTGGAGCGCGTCGACGAAGTGCAAAGGCTCGTCCTGGCGCTTGATGATGCCCAGGTCCTCCTGGGACTGCAGGTTGTGAATGCCGCGCACCGTGATGACCGTCGTCTCGTCCGACTGGGAGGGCT